CACTAGTTCAGTCGTCGTCATGCTTCTATATGGTTCAGAGACTTGGTGTGTTGCGAAAGCATTTCCAACAAACTACAGACGTTCATCAACAGCTGCCTGTGCTTGATACTGAAGATCAGATCAGATGGCCAGAAAGTATAAACAACAAGGAACTCACTGTGGCTTGACAAGAAAACCAACCAACAACCTATTGCCCAAGAAATATGCACTGGGTGGAAGTGGAGATGGATTGGACATACACAGAGAAGACGGTTTGGGGACATCATGCACCAGGCCAGGGTGTCGAGTGGAGTCGAAAGAGGAACGACGAGTTGGGAGTCTGAGGTGAGGGTGACATGGAGGAGATGGTGTGGGGAAGAAATCAAAGCTTGTGGTCAGATGTGGAGTGAGGTTCGAAAGGCTGGAGAGAAGTGAGTGGAATGGTGACGTGCTACTGAAGCCCCATGTTCCACTACGAACCTAAGGAACAATAATGGATACATGTTGACTTGATGCTAGTTGGAGGTAAATGTAATTTTTTCCTATTAGTTCAAACAGGTAGGATATCTATTTCACCATGCTTGATTCCAGAGCGAGCATTTGCAGAAGAGAACAGGAAATTAATCGTTGATTATTGTTGGATACTTGGTTGTTTGAATGATATTTATTTCATCTACTTCCTTCTACTCATAGTTAAGTTTATGTTGTTCCCTCCTCTTACTCATATGATTTGCTTGAACCATGTTGTTTCTGAAAGTGTGTCTAAAACCAGATAGCTTAAGTGCTAACATTATGAATGTAAATACAAATAATTGCATTTAAATATAGGATCTTGTGTCTGATGCTTTTTATGAACTTCTGTTTTTAATTTATTGATAAATTTCCTGTTAAAAAAATAAACACCGTGAAGGGTTTAAGAAATTTGAAATTTTTTCCTCGAACACCAAGTAATTATTACTGGAAATGAAAATGAAAATCCTCCTAATAATCTTGTGCACATTCTTGCAGCAGGCAATGATCCACATCTATTGTGTTATGGTTAATGATACTACCTGGCTTCCCTAACCACCTTGGTAGATGGAGCGGGCCTGGAACCCGTGTCCCATCAGTTGAAAGTCATCTCCCTGGTTAGTTAGCCAACTTTTATGTAACTTTCTCATATAAATAAATTGGTTAAGAAGCTGATGGAGCAGAAAGTGTGGTCTTTATCATACCTGAACACACAGTTAATTTGTGACTGGGCATTTTGGTAGCCTTTTGTTGAACCCTGCGTTACACATTTATTCATTGAAGGATTTTGCATCTTCATAAATTGTTTAGTATCATTGATTTTATTTTCAGCCAAAACATCTCAATTGAAGTCTAGTAAATAAACATGTAAGTAGCTGATAAGTTGTATTGATAATTTTATCAACAAATCTGGGATACATTTAAGTTACTACTAGCTGCATAGCATGTAGAAGAAGCAACATAGACTAAGTTGACCAACCTATCTAATAATGTAAATGATAGTGTGTACATTATCATTAGTATCAAGCATGCGGAAAACTAACCTTATGCTAGTTCATAAGGGACACGCTAATGGTTCCAAAGACCCATCCTTCACGCCTATATATTTATCCTCGATATTCTAATTTTGATTATTTCCCTGAAGAAGCTGGAACCAGACTCCCGAGCGAAACGTTGGAATTATTTCTTTTCAAACACGCTGTGACTTACACAAATGCAAACTGTTTCCAGTGTCACTTATAATAGTGCTTACAGTAATAAGAAAACTGAAGCTCCAGTAATCGGTTACGTATGGTTTGGATGGCATTTAACAACTTACGCAGGAGTTAAGCAATGGTATAAATAATAAACAAAAGGAGCATTAGATAACACAGATAGGATAGCTGAATCGAAGCAAAATGAATGTTCATTTTTCAATCAAAGGTTGGTAGGATTTATTTAAGAGAAAACAAAAGTTATTAAGGGGAGTAACGATGACAATAAAAAACTGTTAAGGTCAGTGTCAAAACCGAGGTAGGAGAAACAAACCAAACTCTGTTATAGCACATTCTTTGGCGCACGAAGATCAGTCTTCAATTCATGAATGTTCAATGTCTACTATTCCAAGAAATTGAAACTAGTAACCCTGAGATTAGTATTTACATTCATTAAGTGGTTTAAATCAATTGAATTTTCGAAGAAAGAATTTCACTCATCCCCGTATAATCACGATGAAACATCCTGAGGTATACATGTTGGCTAATTTAGTTTACTTTGCAGAAGTGGGTGAACTAGTAGATGAATATGGAGGTGACCAGATGTAGTGACTTATCTTTCACATATATGGAAAGCAGTTTACAGCCAATAAGGATCAAATGAAGTTTCTGCAGCTAAGAATGTTTTGTTGACTTTTCTACATATACAACTTAAAACACCGAAAGAAATAGGCGATGAAATTCCAAGTTTGTAGACACTCCGTTTTGAAATAGATGATGACTGTTTTAACATATCCTTCTCTCATATTTTTCATCTCTGATTGAAATAAGATATCAGAAGACGGTAAAACACAAGGAATCCATATATCAAGATAAACCGATCAGTCCAGTCCAGTGTAATGATCAGTGAGAAAATAACAAACACCAATAAATAACAGTAAAGTAGATAATATATTTTTTATTTGATACAACACATTTTTGCAGTAATATTTACTCGAAGGCGTTTCGAATATATCTTACCGCTTATATTCATATCATGGTAGTCACAACTATTTATGTCTGCATCCTGTAATTGTATCACTTCATGTTCGTTTTCAGTAGTAGTAAAATTTTACACATCTCCGGTGTGGGTATTTTTGTTGTTAACATACATCACTGTTGTTAGACGTTTCATTGAAATATTATGTAATTCGAGAGGACTATAAACCCATCTGTAATATGAAAAAACAACAGAACAGTTAATTCATTGACAGCCGAAGACAACATAGAACCTCACATTCAAGTTGTTACACTTCATAGTAAGACGAAACAAGAATAACTACCCGTAGTCGACGAAATGCTCTTTTGTATTTGATATTTGCAAGCTTTCTCAGGAATTACCGACTATCTGTTAAGTTTTCAGTGGCAATAATAAAGAAGTTTTTCTTTTCGAAAGAAACACATTCACTTATATTACTCGTAATTTTGATAGACTGAGAATTACACTTTCTCTTATAAGTTGAAGTAATAAAAAAAACGTTCAAATCTACAATTACTACTTTTTAAACTTTTTTAGTAGTTGATTTTAAACAATAAGTAATAGATACTTTGAAAGGAACAAAGCATTTTTCTTCAAAGAATATAGTCAAGACTTCATTTAATCAAAAAATATGATGATGATGATGATGATGATAATGAATTCAGTAAGTAAGAACATATCCCTTTCCTAATTGTTTGATATGTTTTTCGGATTTTTGAAAATTTCCCTTGGAAGCTCATAAATAAGTGGTTTGGTGTTATAGCTATAGTTCACTGTTGTATATCGATTTGAGTTAGTGCAACATTGCTGGTTTATTGGCTCCTGAGTGAATGCTTCAATATTGCCTGTTATTTCAGTAGGAACAACAACACTCACTGGAAAGTAGTTATATCCACCTAATGAGTTCTAAATAGGAGGAAAACTACATGCCTTAGATTCTCCTAAATACAGTTTTTTTAAACAAATAGTTGTTTGATGTGGATTAATTGACAATATTCGAATAACGGTAATAATGATAATTGAAAAATTAATTGACTTAATAAACTGTTTCTATGTTTTATCATGTTACCATGGTACTAAGTTTCAGTGGCCGATGAAATACAAAAATACAAAAGGCTCGGTTGGCTTTTGCCAACTTACGTCACCTGTGGCACCGCCGTGATGTCCGATTGTCTATTAAGGGTGGCATGTATTGCACAGCAGTCCAGTCTGTTCTACTGTATGGCTGTGAAACATGGCCATTGAAGGTGGAAGATATGAGAAGGCTTCAAGTGTTTCACCATTGTTGCCTTCGTAGTATAGGCCGTATTGCGTGATGTCACCATGTGAGTAACGCAGAAGTCAGACCTAGAGTTTTAGAGATAAGAGGTAAATCAGTTGACATGGGTGTGAATCTCTATCGAATGGGATATTTGTGACACGTACTACGTATGTCTAGTAGCCGCCTGCCTCGTAGCACAATGTTGACCGGAGTAGGTTCAGGTTGGAAAAAGGCTCGAGGCGGCCAGAGTAAAATATGGGACCAACGTTTAAAGTCTTTGACTGTTGGTTTAAGCCATGTATGGGGGGGGTGCAGACTAGTTGGTTGGGGTCTGCGGGACAAGAGGAACCAGTGGTTGAAGACTGACTCTAGGTGATATGGCTCCGAACCGATGTCAATGGCTCAGATGTATACGCACATTATCGTCATCTTAACGACGCTATATCGAATCTCACCATTTTCTCATTCTTCCTCTCTCTCTCTCTTTGAGTACTTTATATTTCTTTTGACCGAATTTTGCTTTCTTCATCTTCCATTTGACTGCCTTTTTACTTGATGTACTGATAATGAGCTGTGGCAATTCTGACCGTTAGGTAGTAATACCTGGTTCTATGTTGATTTGACTGGATGGTACTAACTATGTAGTTGAGAGAAAATGCGTACATTGAGGCATGAAACGATAAATTACCGATAAAACACGACTTTTGGGATTGAACAATAGTGCTTATGTTCATAAAATTTGTTTTAAACAATTTGATTCATGTTAATCAATGCTTGGAAAATGTATTTTATGCAAGAATAAAAGGTAGCGAAATGATGCATGCAACTTAAGAACTGTGAAGGTCAACAAAATAACCTATCTTTATTTTTCTGGTTAAAGATTCGCACAATAAATTCTTGCAAAACAGTCAAACTTACAGTTGTGAATCGTGGGTGACTTTGACAAACTTTGGTAAGATAAAAGATGCTTTCATTTTACATGTGGAGTAAGAAAAAAATCATTTTGACTGGGGTTTATTATTCATCATATTTTAGTGGTTTAAATTTCTGATGATGTGTAAGGTGATGGGAAACCAGTTGGTAGGTTATAATTTTGATTAACTTGACCTCCTGGATAATCATTTGATCGTGGAATATTAGTAACAATAGTTTGAACTGGTAGGCTTTGTTCATGTAAATGAGTTTTTAAATTATGTCGATTTGGAGTAACTTTATTTGATGTAAACAGTGTGACATATGGACAATAACAACAACAGCATGTCAGTGTAAAAAGTTTACTTAAGCATAATACACATGTTAGAACAATAAATGCACACTGTACAATAATCTCTTCACGAAATTCATAGTACACTTTTCCATGAATGATATCTATAATCCAGTATATACTAAACAATGAAAACATTATTCCAATTAAAGCAAATAGATCACACAATGCGACTAGTTTATAAAAGTGTTCATCCTCTTTATCGCTTGCTACATTATAGGTTATAGCAGACATTAGGATAAATGGACTTGTCAATAGCCTGTATAGAATATAATTGGTGCAATCCTCATCCTGCAGGTGTATAATTCACAGATGATTATAGCGGCCGTTATGAGCATTGAACATATTGATGACCATAATCTAAATGATGAGAATATATTTCCCGATATTTTAGGCATATTTCCCATATTTTATTAAATTTCGTTTTTATAAGCTATTCTTAGTTTTATGTGGTATCACAGATCTTTGAATTTTGTCCAATATATATTGAAATCATCCCAATAATATGAAAAAGATTTGTTTATTTTCTATATACCAGTTATCTAAAATTTGATTGGTTGAAAAAGTTGAGTAAATGCAGTTGGTAGCTATAAAACAGATGTTGACAGTCTTGCGGGAAGTATATAAGTTTACTCTATATTTCCAGTTTTCGTCCATACACGATTATTTATTTACTCATTTTTTAGGATTTATAATTGAATTTATTTTAGCTTGCAAATATGAAAAGGAGGATGAAATCAAACAAATGCAAAAAATAAGTCAACTTCTTTGAACAGTATATGATTGTTTCTCAATTCGGAAGGATTAGATAAGAGTATTTTAAAGAAAAGTTAAGTATCCATAGGTATATGAAATTAAACAGGGAATTATGAAAATAAAATTGTAATTACGTAATGCAGATTAAATCTATGACAGAGTAAGAAAATGAATAAAGTATGAAGGAAATATATGTGTAGTTACCTGATACAAAATGAATCTATGATAGTCAAGGCTTTATGAGGACCATGACAAAGATAAAGGTTGGACGTACTTCTTCCTCACGCATAACGCTGTTTGAACTTCTGGATCGCTAGTGCTTCAGCTATAGACAGATGTCTTGATCTTACTCCCTTCAAGTGGTTTGATCGAACCGTGTAGAGAATTTTGAATAAGCTCTCGAAAAGGAGGTATGTAGCCAGGCTGGGTAGTGTTCGCGGACAGTTTTACCAGCTCCAAAAGAGCAAGAAAACTGGTATATACACATTGATGTGGCCCAATGCGTCGGCTTGTCTTTCTCATGTTGACCGAAACATTTATTGCAGGAGAAAATAATCCGGAAGTTGGCGACGAAGTTTGTTCTGTTTAAGAATTTTGACAGTCATTTCCTCAGGATGTCTGTAGCAATATCATTTTTGAATTCAAGATTCAACAAATGAATCTTTTTCGGAGCCAAATGTGTTCTTTCAGCTGGATTCTTTGGCTTTATATTCGTATCTATGAATCTGAGAGGGAAACAATTTTCGACAAACTCTAGCATCTTTTAAAATGATAATTCTAGTAAAAAGAGTTTGACGACAGTTATGTCGTGTTACTTCATCGAAATTGTTTGGATTATACTGTATTTTATCAATTTTACAGAGTTTTTTTGGTGCAAAAGAAATATTGTCTACCTGATGTACCTATATTTAAACGTTTATGCAAATATCCTATGTACTAGTATTACATTACTGCTGAAGCCGACTTTGTCTATAATGTATTGGATATTGAAAAACACAATGAATTTCAACTTTTTCAGTCCTGAACCGTCTCCCTTCTACCTTCGCTGTTTTTATCATACGTGGGGAATACTGGTAGCTCAGGTGGATGGTTTTGGTTGTATCGTGGTTTCTGAGCTGGGTTGTTTAATCATGAAGTTTTCATCGTCCTTCTAGACGACATCATCAGCACTAACTTCAGTATGAAGTGAGCTGTCAATTTCTCTCCGTGAGTGAGTAAGTAGCTTGCCTTGACGAAGTGGTCTGTGATTGGTTGTTTCCTTTGATTGTTGTGTCATTGACTGTATAGATTTTCCTGTTGGCTGTCCCTCTGCTTGATCTCCGACTCTCCGTCGTTTATCATTTTTCTTATTGGCTGATAGATTGCGTCTATCTCTATACATCTGTTGATTGTTGACTGAATGACCTGAATGCCAGGCTTCTGGGAATTCTCTGATATTTTTTTGTGTTTCCTCTCTCCATCCAAAATTTCTACATTTCCCAAATTGAATTCTGTCCATAGTTGTTATCCACATGCATTGAAATGAGTGATGAAATGTCGTGGCGTTTAATAGCTAATTGGTGTTAATGTAGACGAAGGCGAAGAGGGCGACCACTTTGTCCAATGTAGTGTTGACTACAGTCATTGCAGTTGATTTTGTAAGTGATATTCGGTTTGTCTTCTTTGTTTGTTGCATCCCTTGCTCTGCATAATAGTATTTGGAGGTAATTTGTCGGTTTATGAGCCATACCAATTCCAAATGGTCTCAGTAATCTTGTTGTGATTTCCGATTTATCCTTTATGTATGGTAGGATGATGCGTTTATTGATTTCTGTCGATGACTTTGTAGTTGATGATGTACGGGATAGGCATCTTCTGATAAAGTTTCGTGGGTAGCCGTTCTTCTTTAGGATGGACATCAAGTAATTTTCTTCGTTTCTCCTTGAAGTTGCTGTACTGCAGTGTGTTCTCACTCTTCTGAATAGAGTCTGCACGCAACTGATTTTGTGTGTCGTTGGGTTGTTGCTACTGTAGTTGAGGACTTGGTCAGTGTGTGTTGGCTTCCTGTACACTTGGGTTTCCAGCTTCCCCGTATTTGTTCTATTGACCAGAACATCCAGGAATGATAGTTGGTTGTTTGACTCCTTCTCCATTGTGAATTTGATGTCACTGAAAGCGTTGTTGATCAAATTGTGGGTGTTTTCTATATCATTTTTTTTAATGATGACAAAAGTGTCGTCCACATAGTGAATCCAGAATTTTGGTTTGATCACATGTAGCATGATGGCTTTCAGTCTCTGCATCACTGCTTCTACAATTAGTCCGGATATCGGTGATCCCATTGGAGTTCCTTTCATATGTTTGTATAGCTTGCTGTTGAATTGGAACTATGTTGTCAGACAAAGTTCGATGAGTCCCATCAGACTTGAACATTTAAGTTTTGTGCCTTCTGTAAGGCTTGTGTCTTCAATGAGCAGAAGGGACATAGTTTCGTTGGCCAATTGGGGTTCGATGGTTGTGTATAGTGCTGTGACATCGAAGGAAACCATTAATTCGTCGTTTTCTATGTTACTGTTTTTGATCTTTTCTAAGAATTCGGTTGGTGATTTGATAGTTTGTGTATTTTTGGCCTGCCATAGAATCTAGGAAGGAACAGGTCCATTCGATTTCATTCTCCATTTGTCTTGCTTTGTTAGTTCTTCTGCTTTGAAGAGTTTGTTCAAGATTTTATTGATCTGGTTGTCGAACTTTTGGATAGGGTCGGTTTCAAGCGGTTGATATACATTTTCGTCTTTGAGTAAATCCTCTGCTTTCTTGATGTAGTCTTCTTTGTCCATGACTACTGTGGTGCGTTACTTGTCTGCTGGAAGTATAACGATGTTTTCCTATTTTTCAGCCTTTTAAATGTTTCTGTTCTTGAGTGTTCATTTGAGCATGATGTTTCATTTTCTTGATGTCTGTTGGTCAGAATAATTTGACATAGAAAACTTATTACATCTTGGACGAACTGAGATGATATCCACCTGTACTTCCTTATTCACGCAGAATTGTATTGGAAGCAATTCCTGTTGCGGACACAGGTTCATAAAATTGTTATTTAATTAGTTTTTCGCTTTACAAGTTGAAAGAAAAAAGTATCCTTGTACTTGTAACTAAGTTTCTTGGTTTCTGGTCGTTATGAATCTATACAGTTTGTGCAGTTATTTTTCAGTTCACAAACATCAGCTGTACAAGTTCGTCTCTAAGAATTTTAATTTATATCATTAAAACTTTTGAAAATTACTTCTGTAGCATTACAGTGTATTAACTAGTTTATTAATTGTAGAAGGTGCTTAGCTGTTGCACTAGTCTCAGAAGTTTGCTTATGTGGTGCCTTCTGTTATCCGTCAACTGATGCTGAATGAAGACAAACAGCCTATGACTTATCTAATAGTAAACAATTTAGATACGAAACTTGTCCCTTCAGGATTTTACAACATATAGTAAAAACATGTAGCCCTTGTGTAAAGGGTGGATGTACTAATTCAGAAGTTTAGTTGTTTAAAGTGTGGTTGATAAAGCAACTGAACGAGAGTATAAGCTTCACAGTGTGTTTTAATATCCACTGAGATACTGACAGACCAATATGACCAGGCGTTTTGGGAGCAAAACATACATCCTGTATCTGATTTCAAGCCATCTCTCCGCATGAAATAAAAAAGGATAAATAAAGCTATTATATAATTATCTTTACAACCAGAATATGTAGGCAACCTTTAAGTAACAAATGATGGTCACTTTGTGATTAATAAAAACAAAACTGATATCTCCTGGACAACTTTCCTTAGCAAAAGCTTTCTTCTAATTTATGCTCAGCCATGGAGTGAATCTGTTAATCCAGTTTGTTTTAAACCTATTGGACTACTTAAGATGCAGTAATTGTGTCTTGTTTGCTCAACCTGTGCTCAAAACTTTGTAAATTCCGATTAATTCTTGCACACATTATTATTTTTATTTATCCCTTGCGTACCTAGTGGAACATGGGGCTTCAGTAGCACGTCACCATTCCACTCTATTCTCTCCAGCCTTTCGAACCTCACCCCACATCTGACCACAAGCTTTGATTTCTTCCCCACACCATCTCCTCCATGTCACCCTCACCTCAGACTCCCAACTCGTCGTTTCCTCTTTCGACTCCACTCGACACCCTGGTCTGGTGCATGATGTCCCCAAACCGTCTTCTCAGTGTATGTCCAATCCATCTCCACTTCCACCCAGTGCATATTTCTTGGGCAATAGGTTCTCGGTTGGTTTTCTTGTCAAGCCACAGTGAGTTCCTTGTTGTTTATACTTTCTGGCCATCTGATCTGATCTTCAGTATCAAGCACAGGCAGCTGTTGATGAACGTCTCTAGTTTGTTGGAAATGCTTTCGCAACACACCAAGTCTCTGAACTATATAGAAGCATGACGACGACTGAACTAATGTTGAAAATCCGGATCTTCTTCAAGCTGTATGCTG